GAGAAAGGAAGGACTGTCGACAACACATTAAGAAACGAAATGCGCGTTGCTCACACAACGCAAAATTTCCATTGGTCGAAATCGATGTGCCTGTCAATCAAATCTGATATGTAGCATTATGTTATAAATAATTTACACACTGAATGTTGATTTTATAAACATGACATTAACGGTTCCTATTGGATAAATTTAGTTGGATATAAGTAATGTTTATTATGCAAAAGCGGAACCAACATGACAACAGCAAAAAGTGGGCGCATTTCGTTTCTTGATGTGTTGTCGGCTGTCTCTCCTTTCCCCTCGCACGCCCGGGAAGCTAAACCCGTGGAAAGGAGGGACTGCTCATAATCTAGTATGCATGGGTAGTACGTTAGTACGTATACTACTTACTATATCAAGATTTTGTTGGCATCTCACTCGATTCTAGTCGATTGAATATTAATTGAAGGGTATTGTAGGTGAAAATTATGGAGTGGAAATTTATATACATTTATTAGACATAACCAGGAACAGAAGCGAAAAATGCAACTTAGGTCCTTGGTGGGAATCGAACCTGCGGCCCTGCGATTCCGGTGCAGCGCTCTAACCTGAGCTACAAAGGCCAGTTGTCGAGCTCTGACCACATGTTCATACTAGGGCATTAAATCTGTTGTTTATAGTTATGCGCAGTAACTGGACTCTAATAGCTCAGTTGGTTAGAGCGCTGCACCAGAATAGGGCAGTGGGTTCAATTCCTGCCATTGGGCCTATAGTTGGATAGTTGCATCGTGAAACTAGAGGGCATTCGAAGACTGCATGCGAATTAAGTTACGTATCATGCATAAATTATACAACAGGCCTATTACGCTTCTGTTTATTCCTGTGCTCGGTAAAGCAAGACAAACTTTTGCTAATTTCTCATTCAATTTCCATCCAATTTCTCCTGGGTCAATGTGCATTAGTCCCATATTAATTAGTATGTTTGATACATGCTGAAAGACCAACACAGATATACATATAAACGCAGATTAAAACAATTTAAAACATAACCTCCTTGCGGAGGTAATTATAGTACAGTAAAAATCATATAGGTAAACATACGGTTTCTTTAAGAGAGATTTGAGGTCTGATTGCTGATGTAAATGTTGTTCGTTGCTTGGTTGAACTTGAGGAATAAAGGTCGGAGGATCAGGAATTGCCATCTGACGTAGAAAATCAACATTGGTGTTCCTAAGTAGTGAAAATATAATACCATATTTTATTATTTCGAAACCACGGTATGCCATATATTTTCATCAAATAAAGTCAAAGTCAAGTTAATTTTCAGACATGTTTTCAGTTGCAGAATGCAATCCCCGGTCCAATAAAGCCACAAACAGACGAGCACGTTTTACAAAATTTACTGTGCTTGCTCGCATGTACAGTACTGTACGATGAACGAGTTTTTTTTTCAGTAAGCTCCATATATATCTGGAGTGGGAACTCGGGTCCAAAAGGAGGAGCCAAAATGGAGCTACTGGACATTAGTTTCAATCCCATTCTGCTATTTTTGCATGTCTATATATGTGGTCATACTGACACGAAGCTGCATACTAAGTTAAGCTGCAGTTAAGATCAATATTATGATTTCAGTTGAGTTTCTAATTTCATTGACGTTGATGAGCTGATTTCTCAATAAGCTATTGTTCAATTAATAGAGGATCCGAGGTACCTACGATTTAACGTATCCGAAACGACACGAACGTCTAACCATTTACTGACGTCAATGTAAAAGTAGCTTTTTCTCCTCAATTATTTTAAGACCTTGAGTAGAGGTACGGTACGACCAAGGATTGAACCCCGTTCTCCCAGCTTGAAAGGCAAGCGTGGTGACAATGACACCATGATAACTTAATTAGCATATGATCCATTAGAAAAAAATGAAATTAGCTTGATAAAAATGGTATAAAAAATGTTTACGAACTTCAGAGCTATTGGACGTCAATTCGGCTATCTTGGCTTCACTTTTCTACCGAATAATGACTGAAGTTCTTGCTCGATCCAGATATATATATATATATATATATATATATATATATATATATATATATATATATATATATATATATATATATATATATATATATATATATCGCTTAAGATTTTGGTTTACGAAACACAAACAGTGCTCAATACCATATAGATAGAGCGTAATATAGTTTTTCGTTTTACCTCAAAGAACCACAACAGTCTGTTTCAGCCGTATAGGAATTTATATATATATATATATATATATATATATATATATATATATATATATATATATATATATATAATGGTATAAAAAATGTTTACGAACTTCAGAGCTATTGGACGTCAATTCGGCTATCTTGGCTTCACTTTTCTACCGAATAATGACTGAAGTTCTTGCTCGATCCAGATATATATAGATATATATATATATATATATATATATATATATATAGTAGATCTCGCCGGATTTTTAGATCAAACTGTCTACAATTCCACACTTCAAAAGTGAATTTCAAAATAAACAAGATGAAGATGAGTGTGTTGTCAAGGTTTTATTCACGGCTGTACACAATTTTTATATTACTATGCGAACCTACAAAATACCTTGTCGCTGCTTTTGCTATAATTTTCTTACAAAAATGAGTAAATTTCTAAATAAAGAATAACAAACCAGTCAATATAATATTCAATAAATTGTACTTAAGTTAGACTAAAATTCCATTACCCAATTAAGTGGCAGCACTAGACCACCCTTAACCGTTTGATGAGCAAAATTGTCTGGTGTTAGACAGAGTAAAATAATATAGTATCAATCCACTGAATGTCAGCATTACCCTCTTGATGAGCAAAATTGCCTGGTGTTACACAGATTAGGGCACATTGCCACCACTTAAAGGCTTAAGTTATTCTTTAACAATTATTATTATTAGCATGACAAAATTACTGGATGCCGATTGGTTGAGAGCAAAACAAACATAATGGCGGAAAGGTATTTTAAACACAAATGGAAAATTAAATTTCCCTAGAGGAACTAGATGAAAAGACGAACAAAAGCACCAAATCTTTCTAGTAACAAAAGAACTAAATGAAGATACGACAGAAAGTATGGCAGGAATGGCGAGAGAATATGATGTTGACATTGAGAAGTATCCAATTTTGTCATGCTAATAATAAACAAGTAATCATGCAATGTTGCTCGTACAATAGGCAATTCCAGCTTTTAGTTTATGCCTGCAGGGGATGATGGGAAGTAAGGTATCATAGTGCTGATTATGCCGAAATATTTCAATAAAAACTACCGCAACAACCAAAATATTTCAATATTTACAAGTATAAGCTATCACTGCGTGTTTACACGGCCACCATTTCTATTTTTTCAGCATAATCAGCAACGTGATACCTTACTTCCCATCGTACCATGCACGCATAAACAAAAAGCTGGAATTGCCTCGGCGGCTCGTCCAATTTTGTCAAAATTTCCAAACATCACTCGTACTATTAATCACTAATTGTACGCGCCATCGCATGATTATCTATCCTAAAATAGCATTTGTATAAATTCTGAACGCTGATTGGCTAAGAACCGTGTTGATATAACTCAATGTCAACACGGGAAATTTTCCGCCGCTTGTAAACACGAAAATTTTTCTTATCCTTCGGGCTTTTGACATTGCTATATTATAAAATAAATATAAAACATTTTTCCGTATTGATATATAGTTATATCAACACTCGTGGAAGTTGGGAAAACTCGAGCGTCGTGTTTCCATACAACTTCTCGTTTTCTCAATTTCACTCGTGTTGATGTAACTGTATATCAACACGGAAAATGTTTTATATTTGTTAGGCGGCTCGTCCAATTTTGTCAAAATTTCCAAACATCACTCGTACTATTAATCACTAATTGTACGCGCCATCGCATGATTACCATGATTATCTATACTAAAATAGCATTTATAAATTCTGAACGCTGATTGGCTAAGAACCGTGTTGATATAACTCAATGTCAACACGGGAAACGTCGGAAATTTCTTTCTTTATGTTTCTTTATAAATTCTGAACGCTGATTGGCTAAGAACCGTGTTGATATAACTCAATGTCAACACGGGAAATTTTCCGCCGCTTGTAAACACGGAAATTTTTCTTATCCTTCGGGCTTTTGACAAATGCTATATTATAAAACAAATATAAAACATTTTTCCGTATTGATATATATATAGTTATATCAACACTCGTGGAAGTTGGGAAAACTCGAGCGTCGTGTTTCCATACAACTTCTCATTGTGTGAAAACACTCCGCGCTTTTGACATTGCTATATTATAAAATAAATATAAAACATTTTTCCGTATTGATATATAGTTATATCAACACTCGTGGAAGTTGGGAAAACTCGAGCGTCGTGTTTCCACTACAACTTCTCGTTTTCTCAATTTCACTCGTGTTGATGTAACTGTATATCAACACGGAAAATGTTTTATATTTGTTAAATGTAAAACATTTTCCGTGTTGATATTTGTGTGGAAACACGACGTCCGGAGAGCGCAGTGTTTTCACACAATGTCGAGTTTTCCCAATTTCAACGAATATAGATTATAATATGAAAGCTATATAATATGTTGTTAATATTTAACGAATATAAAACATTTTCCGTGTTGATATACAATTATATCAGCACGCGTGGAAATTGAGAAAACGTGTTTCCACACAATTTCTCGTTTTCCCAATTTCCACTCGTGTTGATTATAACTGTATATCAACACGGAAAATGTTTTATATTTGTTAAATATCAACACTCGTGGAAATTGGGAAAACTCGAAATTGTGTGAAAACACTCCACCCTCCAGACGTCGTGTTTCCACACAATTTCTCGTTTCCCCAAAATTTCCACTCGTGTTGATATATATATCAACACGGAAAATGTTTTATATTTGTTAAATATTAATAACATATTATATAGCTTTCAAAAATAAAATGACCTGAATATAACTATTAAAATATATAACTTTAATTAAGTAGCAATGTGCCCAGATGCACCCTATTTTAATATTTTACCCTGTCTAATACGCGTGGAAATTGAGAAAACGTGTTTCCACACAATTTCTCGTTTTCCCAATTTCCACTCGTGTTGATTATAACTGTATATCAACACGGAAAATGTTTTATATTTGTTAAATATCAACACTCGTGGAAATTGGGAAAACTCGAAATTGTGTGAAAACACTCCACCCTCAATAACATATTATATAGCTTTCATAAATAAAATGACCTGAATATAACTATTAACCCTTTTAATATTAGCATGACAAAATTACTGGATGCTGATTGGTTGAGAGGAGTACAATTGTTTCATTAATTGTACTGCAGTACAATTAATGATTTTCCCAAAACAAACAAAATGGCGGAAAGGTATTTTAAGCACAGATGTGGAATGAAATTGCCGTGAAGGAACTAGATGAAAATATGAACAAAAGCACCAAATTTTGCTTGAACAAAAGAACTAAATGAAAATACAATAGTCTAGGACCTGTATATGAGTTTGTATGCGTTTCATTTAGCACAGGTAATCTCAACTGTTTTAAGGTAAAATGACCATAGCGGTCAACATGGCATATGTGCCAAAACCTGAATCCGGGACGAAAGTCCTGAAAATGACCCCGCCCTGAAACGGCCGTGTCGATAAAGCTCTAACTTCCGAAAACAAAGAGGTAATCAATTCCCAATTGTCGCATATTTAGTCAATTGATCGTCATACATACCCCCCTCTTCTGTGATCATACATTATTAACCCATCGAGTGGCAGCACTTTCCCACTGACGAGTAAATCGTCTGGCACTAGACAGGGTAAAATATTAAAATAGGGTGCACCTGGGCACATTGCCACTTAATTAGTATAGGTAAATCAGAGTGCTATTAATCCCTAATTATACGAGCAACATCGCATGATTACTTGTTTATTATTAGCATGACAAAATTGGATACGTACTTCTCAATGTCAACATCATATTCTCTCGTCCAAGCCCAGTTCTGCCAGATTTTCAACCAAAATTTGGTGCTTTTGTTTGTAGTCTAGGACCTGTATATGAGTTTGTATGCGTTTCATTTAGCACAGGTAATCTCAACTGTTTTAGGGTAAAATGACCATTGCGGTCAACATGGCATATGTGCCAAAACCTGAATCCGGGACGAAAGTCCTGAAAATGACCCCGCCCTGAAACGGCAGTGTCGACATAGCTCTAACTTCCGAAAACAAAAAGCGATAGTCTTTCTGAAGTGCTTATAGTGTTTAGAAGGGTTGCTTTTAGGGGTGGTCATTGGAAGGAAAAATTTGTCTAAGTATAATATTTTACAAGAAAATGACCATGCACCACCCCGGGTAAATTGCTAATTATGCATAAAATAACTAATATGCCTGGCAGAAATTAAATATTCTTATTTCCTAAAAAAAAATTATCATGGGGTGAAAAACTATGCTTAATTTAATATAAATATTGTTGATTTCATAAGTATTGTCATTATTTTCTTTAAATATAATACATTTTATTTCACTTACCCCCCACGAAAACACGATTTCAGCCATATTTTGCCGTCTTGTTTGCTTTTTATCGCCGAATCTCGCAAATATCATCCAGTTATTGCACTTTTACATAATCATAAATGGCTGAAGAAGATTTCAAAGAAGGTTTCATCCAGTTTTGAAACAGTGCAGTGTATTTTATCTTCGATATTGTGTCCTTCGATATTTCATCAAATTGCCGCCATTTTAATGGCTTGCCGCTTCTCTGCCCGATAAATGCCACTTCTTCGTTTTCATATGTATTTACATTACATTATCCAAGAGTACTTCATTGTAGAATAGTCCCAATCCCAAAATTGAAAACATTATTTGTACTTGGGAGGATAAAACCTCCCATAATAGTTGTCCTGTCAGAATTCAAAAGAAGTAATTTAAAAGTCACGCGCAAGTTCGCGAAAACACCTCGTGTGTTACATAACAGGGGGGTGAATATTTTCACGAAACGTTTGTTCGCCACCACAGGCCACAGCAACCTAACTAAGTACATTATATTTATTGTATTTTTGTGATTTATGATAAAAACAATAAATATTTGCGTATTTTTATCATCAATTATAAAAATACAAAAAATATAAATACATTTAGTTAGGTTATATATTCACCCCCCCCCTGTCAAGTAGCCACGTGAAAATATTCATCCCCCCCCCCTGTCAAGTAGCCCACGAGTTGTTTTCGCGAACTTGCGCGTGACTTTTAAATTACTTCTTTTGAATTCTGACAGGACAACTATTGTGGGAGGTTTTTTCCTCCCAAGTACAAATAATGTTTTCAATTTTTGGATTGGGACTATTCTAGAATGAACTACTCTTGGATAATGTAATCTAAATACATATGGAAACGAAGAAGTGGCATTTATCGGGCAGAGAAGCGGCGAGCCATTAAAATGGCGGCAATTTGACGAAATATCGAACGACACAATATCGAAGATAAAATACACTGCACTGTTCAAAACTTGATGAAACCTTCTTTGTAATCTTCTTCAGCCATTTATGATTATGCAAAAGTACAACAAGTGGAAGATATTTGCGAGATTCGGCGATAAAAAGCAAACAAGACGGCAAAATATGGCTGAAAACGTGTTTTCGTGGGGGGTAAGTGAAATAAAATGTATTATATTTAAAAAAAACAATGACAATCCTCATGAAATCAACAATATTTATATTAAATTAAGCATGATAATATTTTTAGGAAATAAGAATATTTAATTTCTGCCAGGCATATTAGTTATTTTATGCATAATTAGCAATTAACCCGGGTCATTTTCTTGTAAAATATTATACTTAGACAAATTTTTTCTTCCAATGACCATGCACTCCTAAAAGCAACCCTTCTAAACACTATAAGCACTTCAGAAAGACTATCCCTTTTTGTTTTCTGAAGTTAGAGCTATGTCGACACTGGGCGGGGTCACTTTCACTGGGCTTGAGCGAGAGAATATGATGTTGACATTGAGAAGTACGTATCCAATTTTGTCATGCTAATAATAAACAAGTAATCATGCGATGTTGCTCGTATAATTAGGGATTAATAGTACTCTGATTACCTATACTAATTAAGTGGCAATGTGCCCAGATGCACCCTATTTTAATATTTTACCCTGTCTAGTGCCAGACGATTTACTCGTCAGTGGGAAAGTGTTGCCACTCGATGGGTTAATAATGTATGATCACAGAAGAGGGGGGTATGTATGACGATCAATTGACTAAATATGCGACAATTGGGAATTGATTACCATTCCTTAAAGTCTGATACCATTGTTCAAATCCAGTTGGACGATGTGCCATTCATTTTGCATGTAAAGAAACCGTAATTTGAATTATCGGTTAATTGTAGCTATTAATGTAAATAATTACCCATTTAAATATAGAAGCCATCAAGTGTAAAAGCCATCCTGATACCACTGGGTACTTCTATGAAATGTAAGTTTGAAACAAGTATTAAAAACAAAGTTTTATTTGGTTGAAAACTTTTACTAGTACTGCACATAAGGAAGTTGTGCCGAATATGTCCCCACCACGAATACCTGGATCACCCTGGTGTAACAGTGCATATAGTACAGGGTTTCTACCATTAGTGAATATAAAATTCATGAAAATATATTTCACTTCCTGGCAGCAAAATCCAAATATAAACTTCCTGAATAAGTAGATTTCTGAGAACGTATCATGCGGTCGGACATTGTGGTAAATTTTAATGTCAGCGTGAGGCAATCTCGACTTGCAAACACTTTTGGAATTTTTAAACAAGTAAATTATGACGCTTGTGATGTTACTCTGAGTGTGTAACCACACTGGGCATGCTTAAAAAATACGCCTGGCCACGGTGGGAATCGAATCTACGACCTTGGAATGTGGCATTCTCCTTCTCGAGATAATATAAATTTCCAGCAGATTGTAAGAAGAGCTCCTGCAAAGTTTTTTTGTTAAACATTTCTTTGGAAATAAGCATGAATGCTACAAGTTATCTAATATCTTCACATTTAATTCAGAATTAATACATTGTGCTGATATTAATTTGCGTCATTCAGACTTATTTCGTCATTCAGAGCTAAACTGAACTGAAGATCGTTGTACATCATCATATAGTGCGACCCAAACTCAAAGTCATCGAACATTTTGTCAGACGGCCCTGCAAAATATATTTTAAGGCCTGAACGATGAAGGATTTTCCAGGCCTTAGGCTTAGATTTGTTTTTTTCAACTTCAAGAACTTTCCAGTAAAAAAATCGAATATTCGTCAGAGAAGATTTGTTGTATATACGCACATGCAAATAAAACTTGCCTATGAAAACTTGTTATATAGAAAACTTGCTGGTTAGTCAGATCGTCAGCATAAGGTTACAAAATTTGTTGGCCTATTGGCATGAGATTTAGCCTGCGTCACCGGGAGAAAGGCGAGCCTGCACGGAACCATGCTTTAAAGGCGGATTTCTAGTCCTGGCACGAAGCTCCTCGCAGCTTGCTGCGAGAACTCGCAGGCGTTCTGCGAGTGTTTTGCCGCTCGCAAAAAATAGTTCAAAATTTTTACTCGCTGCGAGAGGTCGCAATAATAAACCAATCATAAAACGACTTACAGTCACGTGATATTTTGTTTTCAAAATGGAGGCTAGATGGGGTGATGAAAATACAGAAATTTTAATAGTTTTTATTGGATTTCTAAATTAGTGGCTTTACCAAATTGCGTAAATAATCAAATTGGTCTGGTAACATTCTGAAATAATTGAAGTAGCCTTCGTGGTCTTCCTCCCGTAATTCTTTAACTATAGTAGTGTAAAAAATTCACTTAATTGTGCCCTCGTTTGGAATATTGGTCTTACCCAAAGCCCTTCTAAGTATTTGGTACGAACAACAAAAGCAATAATTGCTTTTTGTTAAGTGCCATTTTTAACTTTGAACTCTTCCCGCTACTACCTAACCTGCGAATGGGCATGCCATGAGCTACGAGATTGGCGTGTGGTAGAAACGGGATGACATTCGTGCGAGTACTCGCAGCGAGCTGCGAGGAGCTTCGTGCGAGGACTGGAAATCCGCCTTTATTCATTTACCAGCTTTTCGCATCTGCTAAACAAAGGCTGTCGACTGTCAAATTGACGCAGGGCGTAAAATGTACAATGAAGAAATGTATATAACAAATAATACGAAGCATTAGCAAGCCGCACAATATATTAAATATAGAATTCTCCAGATAATAGATTAAGGGTTAATCAATACACATACAAATAAGTGTATGAAATAATACCATTGAATATAATACTTAAAAATCTCAATAATTCACGAGAAAAAGACAAAGAAATGAATGTTTAATCAATGTTTGTAAATCGGATAAAGGTTTGTCCTGATTTCCATAAACTTCAGCTGGGAAACGACAAAACTCGGACCCCAGGTCCACGGACCTGGTCCGTAGACCATTTGGTCGGTGGACTACACTCGTACAACTAGAATTACAAATTGTAAGTGAAATGCTGCGAGTAAATACTGGAAGTTCGTGTGTCTTCCTCAGTCGTCTCTTGGATAGTTGGGCAGTCTTCAGCATAGTAATTGCATGTCTTAAAGTTCTATAAATTCGCATTAACTGGGTATGCATTTATTATCATTTGGATCAGGCATGTACAGGTGTACCACAAACATTTCGTGAATGAGAATCAAACAGATAAATACAATCTTTTATTCAAACTATATTAATATAGCCTTCTAATATTATAAATATTATAAATGTCATAAATGCATAAGTATTGCTTGAAAAAGCATTCATCAAAGCTGAACGTAAAGTATAGTGCAAGCTATGATTTTTGTGCTTGTCGACCGCATTAATAGTTCCCCCTTCATAAAACTCTTTGTAATCTACTAACCATACAGGTGCGTTGTTTCACGAGTTTTGATCTACCACCAGCAGATCAGAATTAGTCACTCTGACAAGCCACTCAACATCCGCCTTTTTTGATCCAGCCTAGCTTGCGTGGCAGGCGGTTTTTAGGGAGGCCGTAGAAAGGGTATTTCCTTGCCCGCAAAAAAGGTAAAAAACGAACTACGCTTGCAACTAAGGTGGACCGTCGCATATAAAAACATTGTCTATTTGTGTGAGAATCTTCAATATTTGTCAAGAACACTTTTAACTAGCTCCAAGCTGATTGGCTGAGCTAATTGAAACCATTACATGATCATCATAAATATTGAAGTTTCTCGGTAGAAACATTGTACTTTGTCATGAGAAAGACAATGTTTTATCTGCAACCGTTCATCCTTAGTTGCAAGCGACGGTATTAAGGCGAATCGTTTGTTTGTCTAGTATAAATTTGCATAGTGTTTGCGTCAAGAGGCCATCGCATCTCACGGGACAGACAGGGCCGTAGCGAGGGGGGCGGGGTGTATTGGTTAACCCACCCACCCCCCAACTTTTTTACAGTTAACATATTCGGAAAATCAGGTTGGGCATTCGGAAAATTGTGGCAATAATAGTATAACAAAAGTTTAGTTGGTTAAACAGAGAAAATATAATGTAATTGTATTGTCAGTATAAACTGATTTACGAAATCATGGCATTTACATTGATAACATTTAACAAATCGTAAATCAGTAAATGTTTTTTGTTTATTACTACTCAGGGCCATTGCAACCGGGCTGGGGCCTGCAGCCCTATCAATAATTTGCAAATAATTATTTTTTTCAAAGTCATGCAACCTTTATCATTTAAATAATATACCTTCGAAATACTGACAAATAATTAATTTTAAGCCGTTACATTATCCATGACAAACTGCAAAGAATCATATTACCCATACTTCCCTGCAACTTCTCCAATATATAGTCCACGAGCCGACGGCGCGAAGAGCCGTGCAAGGGTACTAATACCCCCGGTTATTTACACCAGCGGAAACGAAAGCATTAGCGAAGTCTAAAGTTCATCAATAATCGCGGGCGTGGCTCACCAACGATGTTTCGGTGGGTGGTAATCCTCACTGATCGCAAAAATATGGCGGACTGTCATGAATAGCGGACACTGATTGGTCCAATTTAAAGTTTGCATTATAACGACTGCATGACGACAGCGAAATCACAGAGGAAGTATATACAGAGAGTTCACTCAAGCCAAAACAAGTCACACGCATGATCGGCCATACTGCGCATGCGTAACTTCCCAGCCAGTACCGTGAAATTTTTTTATAAGGAAATAGATGGGGAAATCCGAATTTTTGTCATAAAAACAGCGATTTTAACGAAACTATCCAGGTGGCTTGCTGTTTCGTTTTAATTTCAAGAAAATGGGTTAGACTGGACATTTTTAACAACAAATGGGGCTACAAACACTACTTGAACGCTGCGAAAAGGGAAAATTATACTCGAAGGAGTGAAGTTCGAAACTTGTGTTGACAAGTCAAAAAGAGATCAAAAAGTTGTTCTACACGATGTTCTATACTCCAGTTGTGTCGTTTTTGCGGCCGAAAAGCTCAGAAGTTGTTCAGAATTGACATTCCAGTATATTTCGTATCGTATAATTTTTAATGTTCAGGTAAGAGCATAATTCACTTTTGTAAACGAGAAAAAACTAGCAAAAAACAAGTCTCGACCAAAATGTCTCAGTCTTTGAGAGTTCGATACAGGGCCTTTTTTAACATACAAGCTGGGGGGGATGCCCCCCAGTCCCCCCTTGTGCCCCCCACAAAATCACATTTTGCCCCCCCCCCAGGAAAAGTCCCTTTTCCCTAAAATTATACAAACAAACCAGCGAAGATTAACAAATACATAAACGGAAAGTAAGTTTTAGGCTTCATCCCTTGTCCTAAAAGTTTAACAAAATCGATTTAAATTGTTACTTTTTTCTAAATTATTGTTAATAATATTTTTAATATTTGGATGCTCAGAATGCAGGAAATAGCATTTCCGGGTTTCAAATATCAAAAATTTTCTGGGGATTATCCCTCCAATAAGTAATGATAAATTACAGTTAATATTCTTTTTTACTTTTTGTGCATTTTTCCATCTTTTATTTCAAATACAACTATAGTTAGCATAAATTTTAGAGCAAATTTGGATGCTCAGAAAGCAGGAAATGGCATTACCGTGGTTCAAATTTCAAAAATTTTCTGGGGGAATACACCCCCACACACCTGACCATTGCTATCCTCCTCTAATAAGTAATGATAAATGATGGTTAATTTTTTTTTACTTTTTGTGTGTTTCTTCCTTTATTTATTTCAAATACAAGTATAGTTAGGATAAATTTTGGAGCAAATTTGGATGCTCAGAATGCAGGAAATGACATTTCCGGGAGTCAAATTTCAAACATTTTCTGGGGGAGTACACCCAGACCCCCCATTCATGCGTGGTATATTGGCCACACGTAGCCTTCAGCCATTGCTATCCCCCTCTAATAGATTATCCCACAGAAAAGTCCCTTTTCAAAAAATGCCCCCCCACGGGAAAATCCTTAAAAAAGGCCTGCAAAATGTGGGAAATGCCATTTCAAAGACACTAAAATTTTAAAAATGGAGAGGGGGCAACTGCATGCCCTCCAGACAGCCAGACCCACAAAGAAATGCCCAGCTTAATAGGGAATGAATAGATAATAACGAATTAAGTCATTATTCTCGTCTATATATATCAGTCATTTTGCGGCCGTTTTAAACGTCGGTAAAAAATCATACCATTAATAATAGTATTATATACAGATCAAAACGAAGCCGTTATTCCATGATTTAACGGCCTCGTTTCGTTCAGTATACTGAATAACGAATTAAGTCATTATTCTCGTCTATATATATCAGTCATTTTGCGGCCGTTTTAAACGTCGGTAAAAAATCATACCATTAATAATAGTATTATAGACAGATCAAAACGAAGCCGTTATTCCATGATTTAACGGCCTCGTTTCGTTCAGTATACTGGCAGTAACCGGCCGTTTTAAACGTCGGTAAAAAATCATACCATTAATAATAGTATTATATACAGACCATACCATTAATAATAGTATTATATACAGATCAAAACGAAGCCGTTATTCCATGATTTAACGGCCTCGTTTCGTTCAGTATACTGGCAGTATCAAAACGAAGCCGTTATTCCATGATTTAACGGCCTCGTTTCGTTCAGTATACTGGCAGTATCAAAACGAAGCCGTTATTCCATGCCTTAACGGCCTCGTTTCGTTCAGTAAACTGGCAGTAACGAAAAGAAGCCGTTACTCCATGACTTAACGGCCTCGTTCCGTTCAGTATACTAGCAGTATCAAAACGAAGCCGTTATTCCATGACTTAACGGCCTCGTTTCGTTCAGTATACTGGCAGTAACGAAAAGAAGCCGTTACTCCATGACTTAACGGCCTCGTTTCGTTCAGTAAACTAGCAGTATCAAGACGAAGCCGTTATGCCATGACTTAACGGCCTCGTTTCGTTCAGTACACTAGCAGTATCAAGACGAAGCCGTTATGCCATGACTTAACGGCCTCGTTTCGTTCAGTATACTAGCAGTATCAAGACGAATCCGTTATGCCATGACTTAACGGCCTCGTTTCGTTCAGTATATTAGCAGTAGAGAGGTTAAGATACCCCGGTTCCGGTTTACGGGTACGGGTGATATACACATACCCGTACCCGTAAATCTGGGAACGACTTGTCACTTAAGAAATCCAAGATATTCCGGCATGAGAAAACCGATCAGACAATGGCAACTTTCGCTGTTGAGGTTCGTCATTCATTGTTTCAAACTTTGACAAGTATATGTGCAGTATTTAATTGGGTAAGATTATGGATAATTTTTACTATTTTACTATAAGTTTGTAAGTAGTTTACTTAAATTTTATAGTATTTAGATTGAGAATAGAATATTATTATCATTATTTTTATTATTATTATTATTGCTTGTTTTATTAGGCGGTGCTCACTGTCTGCGCATCGTTATTGCGCATATTATTTTCACTTGGGAAAATGTTGTAAATTGTCGGGAAATGCTTCATGTGTCATAGCATCAGTAAGTATGGGAATGATGCATATATTTGATATTTTAAAACTTGTTTGATTTTCTTCATTTTAAAATTTGTATGATTTTCAAACTCGGAGAAATGGAGCCAACAAGTTTGAAAATCCGACAAGTTTAAAAATCAATTTTATCGCATATTTTCGCATCATTCCCGTTCTTCAAAATGAAGCATTTCCCTTGTTTGAAGCATTTTAAGTTTATATGAAAAAATAATTTATCAAAATAGCATTCAAGTAACCTACTCGCCAAGGCGATTTTCAGTATTCGCCGTATAGTCTATATAGTTTATATTAGATTATTAGTGGTATCGAAACGAAGCCTAAATAATTTTGTAAGATAGGTCCGTAGTATATTTTGTATAGTATATTTCAGCAAAAGTATATTTTTAAAAGTAATTTATATATAATTTTTTGTGTGTGTTTTGATGTTATGTACTCAGGTGAATATAATGTTCTTGATGTTACTCTGAGTGTATATCCACACCGGGCAGGCTGAAAAGTTAGCCTGACCACTGTGGGAATCGAACCCTGAACTAGTATCCCAAAGGTCGCGGGTTCGTTTGGGAACTAGAGAGCTCAAATAGTAAAAATTATCCATAATCTTACCCAATTAAATACTGCACATATACTTGTCAAAGTTTGAACAATGAATGACGAACCTCAACAGCGAAAGTTGCCATTGTCTGATCGGTTTTCTCATGCCGGAATATCTTGGATTTCTTAAGTGAAGTCGTTCCCAGATTTACGGGTACGGGTACGTGTATATCACCCGTACCCGTAAACCGGAACCGGGGTATCTTAACCTCTCTACTGCTAATATGCTGAACGAAACGAGGCCGTTAAGTCATGGAGTAACGGCTTCTTTTCGTTACTGCCAATTTACTATCTTGGATTTCTTAAGTGAAGTCGTTCCCAGATTTACGGGTACGGGTACGTGTATATCACCCGTACCCGTAAACCGGAACCGGGGTATCTTAACCTCTCTACTGCTAATATGCCAGAACGAAACGAGGCCGTTAAGTCATGGAGTAACGGCTTCTTTTCGTTACTGCCAATTTACCGAACGTCTTGTGTATATCACCCGTACCCGTAAACCGGAACCGGGGTATCTTAACCTCTACTACTGCTAATATGCTGAACGAAACGAGGCCGTTAAGTCATGGAGTAACGGCTTCTTTTCGTTACTGCCAATTTACCGAACGAAACGAGGCCGTTAAGTCATGGCATAACGGCTTTGTCTTGATACTGCCAATTTACCGAACGAAACGATGCCGTTAAGTCATGGCATAACGGCTTTGTCTTGATACTGCTAGTATACTGAACGAAACGAGGCCGTTAAGTGATGGAGTAACGGCTTCTTTTCGTTACTGCCAATTTACCGAACGAAACGAGGCCGTTAAGTCATGGCATAACGGCTTCTTTTCGTTACTGCCAGTATACTGAACGAAACGAGGCCGTTAAGTCATGGAATAACGGCTTCGTTTTGATACTGCTAGTATACTGAACGAAACGAGGCCGTTAAGTCATGGAATAACGGCTTCGTTTTGGTCTGTATATAATAAACTAATGGTATGACTTTTTACCGACGTTTAAAACGGCCTTAAAATCGTTGATATATACTAACCAATATAATGGCCTAAATTGTCATTATAATAATTCCCCGAAAAACGCAACAGTGGAAATCAGCCTTTAAGCACAGTAATCGAACAAGTTCGAAAAAATTGCCCTCCACCAAGGAATTCATAATTTACAGTATATTAGAAAGCTGCGGAATGATAGGGATACAACCAACAAAACGTCGAAAGCTATACGCTTAAATTATATATTGGAGTTTACAAGGAATAAACAAAAATTAAATCCAAGATGGCCGCCATTCGAAAATCCATGATGGCCGCCATAGGGAAATATACGCCTTATCAAATGGTCCATCTCTTTTACATACATGTACGCTTAAATCATCTAAGTTACATACGCTTAAAAGGCGTGCAAGTCTTTCTTGTGAGTAAAAGACTGCATGATGTTAAAATGGTGCTGTACTACCTCGTATGTCAGAAAGCGTACCCGTATTTATATATAGCTATATCGAATGCTCTGTACATTTTAAGGAAAATTTTCATTTTTATTACAATGCTACATTTGACTAAGCCATATTCATCTTCAGGAATTATCCAAAATAATTATTCATAATTCCCGACGATGACGATAGATTAGTCGAAACGCAGAATTACAATAATACGGTGTGAATACAGCCCAGCCTGCAGAGGAACTAGCCAATCTCCAATAGACATAAAAAACCCGACGTACATATTATATGGTAATAACGTTACGTAAAATTAATGTACAACTACCAGGTCATCAAGTCGCCCTATCCAGACATATGTCAACCAGCCTAGCTCTGTACATATTGTGACCTTGCAATCAAAATGACTCGGTTTACAACAAACAAGCTTGTAAAATGCGTGATATTTACCCCTTCAGCAATAAATGTACAAAATCGTGGTAGCATCTGATAGAGACCAGGATCACTTGAGAGACTCTGTAAGGCTTCCTACATAAACAAGTGCAAAACATATTTAACCGTTCAAGCTAGATTTACAGTTATATTAAACCGTTATAGAGTTTCACATATATTTATCACTGAAGATGTGTTTTGCATGTGCAGTTTGTATTCTGACATGCAGTAGCTCAACTTTTTAAGAACATACGAACTATGAACGTTATCTCACTTGGTTACTAATGTTGGCAGGCGATTGTATACTTCACAAAATTTGGCTTTCAAAACGTGATACTTTTTGTTTTTCAACAAGTAATACTTGTCCAAAAATACGGATCTAAATCGGTGAATTTTCCACTTTTTTAAAAACTGCATCGAGCCACCTTAAGATATGAGGCAAAAAACATAATTCCAACGCACGAAAGTTAGAAATTATGAATTTTGTATCAAGTTTTAATTATGTGTAAGTTTTCTTAAATAGGTTGTGTTGAAATCTGTTTGTTGCAACTTGCAGCAATTTGTTGCTCGTAGCTATATATTATCTGTTTATTATGTCATGTTGCAATTTATCGGAATATACAATTTTCAAGACTTACTGCACGTTTGGCTTCAGATGAACCTACACAAGCTTCGGTCACTTCTTTATAGTACAGTTGTTGTTCCTAAGGACAGTAAACAATAATGTAAGAAAAACTTAATATGGAGGTTGCAAATACAAAACTTCGCGTTGCACTACTTCGGTTAGTCTGCGATAGCAGACTGATACTGATCTCAGCCGACCCCCCGACCCCCTGAAAACGACGCTGCCATGCACCTGGTCAGTACCTAGTCTCCTCCGCAGAGGTTATTAATTGTTTTCGGACAGTTCTCGCAGTTAATCGGGACAGGGTGCTAGAGAAAAATCATTCTGCGCCCGCATTATTTCTGGCCAGTACCTACCCCGATTAATTCCGAGAACTGTCCGAAGAACAATTAATAACCTCTGCGGAGGAGAGAGTGGTCACTATGGCACCTGGTCAGTGCTGATATAGGAGCTGCACAAAACTAATGCATATATTTATTATATTGAACACTACAGAATATTAAAGAATTTTTGTAGATGGAAATATTGGGCGAAAACTATATGCACAGTTTAGACATATAACCATGGAGGAGCAGTAAAAAATGATAATAATAGGCGCCCTGGCAGAAATTGCATGAACTTGTGCCTCTGTGATTCTGGTGCAGCGCTCCAAATACTGAGCTACAGAATCCAGTTGCCAAGAGTTATACCACCACAAGTTTATGTATGATGCCAACAGCATAAGAGTAAGTATTCTTATTTTAGGGCATCTCGCTAGATAGAGCAGAATGTTGCCTAAATACCGGAAAATACCGAGCAGATATAACTGCGGGAATTTGGACGTTGAACACAAAGCACATGCAGTACACTGAGTACAGTAACGCTTAGTAAAACCCGTCCACCCTCTGGCAACACGATTAGACGCACGTATACTGCACTTATTACCTGCAATTTAAGGTTTTAACCTATACCTTTAACATTTAACCTATTCAAATCTTGGTTCGCATAAAAACGCATTAACATTATAATAACATTACAAAATTATGGAAACAGTCTCGGAAAGATTAAAATGTCTGAAATATGTTGCAAATGCTGTAGAAGTACTTCAATGTCATAAATCGGTTGACTTACAACAGAGAGTTCGTGGGTCACCAACGGTTTAAGTTTATCAGAAGCAGCTGTAGTAGAAACGATCGATGCTGCTAACCACTTTGAATCAGTCTTAGATGTGGTCGCTGTTGTGGTTTTTACTGCAGTAGGTTTAGTACTAGCAGTTGAAGAAACTGTGTTGTCTTTTAACTTCATTTTTGGAGTTTTCTCCATAACATCTTTCGACTGTAGTTCATGAGACACTGCAAATAAATAAAAGAAAGTCTTCTAATCTGGCAAGAATACATTACTTATCTGAACTCACATTTTAAGGAACTTTTTATGGCAGAATGGCAGATGTGGACAATCACGTGGTGGTAACATTGGGGTGATCTTTCCTGGAAATCTATTACATCCCCTGTAAAAAACATCCTGGATAAGCCCGTCAAAAAGTTTCATGGATTTGTCTTATATTTTGAATGGTCATTTCATACAGTGTGTATAGAATCCAGACATTTAGCTAAAACAATAAATATCTTTATGCAAACCTGGTGGAGGGTTTTCCGGGATTGCTGGCTGAACACCTTCGACACTCAACCAGTGAGCTAAAAATGACAAAAATGATAAGTTACTAGTGTACATAGTTAATTCACAGCTTTCCAAATTAATTATATTTCGTTTTCAAAGTTGAATTCCTCTGTTCCTTTTCAGACATTAAATTAAACGAAAATATGTTGCAATTGTCTCAGAAGGGCGGCTGATTGGTTTTCAAAACAATCAAAAGCAACAAATCTCTCAGGGCCTCTCTTTGAGGTTCACAGATTTCTTCGGTTTGGATACCATGAATGATTAAGCAACTGAACAGTACTTAAAATTATAAAGAAAAGAGTAAAATATATACAATACATTTTGATGACAAAAGCATATAATGTACTTTGCCCAAAATGTTCTCAGTATAATTATTACAGTATAATTATTTACTTTTCAAACACGTATAGCTGGCTCAACATTTTAACCCAAATGGAAACTCATACTGTAGTAAAATCTCATTTAATAATTACCTTTGAGTGAAATATCAAGTGGAAGACGAGGTAAAGGTGTACCAATGATCTTACTCAGTTCAATTTCTGGATCATCATAATAAAAGAGATCTCGACCACCTCCACTTGTGAAACGAAATGGAATGAATTCTGATGAAAGGAACCCACACAATGGCTGCGAGAAATGGGAAAGGAGATAGACAATAGTCATTTACAGTATGGACCTTTATCAATAAATGGCTCATTCCAAAAAAATCCTCCACTTCGAACAGAGAAAATGGGAAATTAATTGGTTAAGGATACCAAGTCTTGTTGTATTTTAAAATTAGAGTATAGTCGTATACAAACGAACACCTCTAATTTTAAGCGGAGACAAACCTCTCGTCCCAATGTTGTCCCGATGTTAATAAAGCACTACATATATTTAACAATTATTGAATGAGGTTGAGCACGATATGAAGAATTATCAAGCCCGAAGTTTGCCGTTATCAACCGAAGCCGAAGGCTGGGGTTGATAACGGCAAACTGAGGGCTTGATAATTCTTCATATTGTGCGAAAACCGAATTCAATAATTGTTTTATTATTTATTTAAAAAATTCAAAACAAACATTTGTATTTTATTTGTATTAAGAAAAAAACAATTCCTTAGTCCTTCGGCAGCCGTCGTCGCGTCATATCAATGGCGTCAGCGAGTCAATTTGATTCTCGTCGTCATAGTAATATGGCGCAAACGCGTCCAAATTCTTTTCATATCGACTCTTTGACGTCATTTTGCTAATATGAATGTGGAAAATCCGTATTTGGTTAGCCATTGAGTTGATATGACAATTTCACAGTTGGCTGTTAGCCAATCAGAAACCAGGAATTTTTTAAATAAATAATAAAATATATTATTGTTTGGCATATATAGACCCATTGCACGTGACGTCACAGCGCCAGTGATGATGCATCTGGAGGACACTCTAAGGATTTGTGACGTCAGTGCAATGGGTCTATACTCGGGACGTGGATAGTGCTTTTCACGCAATTTGATTAGTTGACCTGGTTGTTCAGCTCCAGATATCCTTGCACTATTCACCTCAGGACAAAACAACATGGCTTCCCGTTTCGTTCCGGTTACATTATGGCTTCCCGTTTCGTTCCGGTTCCGATAAACCTTTTGTACTAAACGAACCTACGGTTTCGCCAAACTGCACGAAAATGTTAAAATTACCGAAAGCGTGTAAATACTGTTTTGTTTACAACTATTACGGGAACTGAAATACAAATTGTTTTAAAAACATTTTCGTTGTTTTTTTGGTCATTGTACTATTCACCTCCACTTAGGTAATAATTGTTAAATAACCCCAAGGTGTCATTTAATGGAGGTTCTACAGGGTGTCTCAAAAAAACCGCTACCCATAGAAATTCACCATTGTTCTAATTTGAATGCCTGAACCTTGTTGAAGCCATGAATGCGTAAATATTTTCAGAGGATGCATATATTAAAGATCTTCGGAATTAAAATATCCTTGAAAAGCGAAATTTTTTATCCTGGGAATTGAAAATAGGTTCATACAAAAGTATAACTGCACGAAAATCGTTCAATTACATATTAGTGAATGTCAAGCAAATGGCTCAACTGAGCACAGAGCAAAGAGTATTTATTGTCTTAAATTATACGCGAACCCAAAGTCTAGGCGCAGTCCAAAACCTTTTTCGAGAAAGGTTTCCTGATCGGAATCCACCTGCTAAAACAACAATTTTAAGCAACGTAAGAAAATACACGAACGCTGGATCGAGTCTTAACCACAGAATAAAGATCAGTACCAGAAGGGCCACTCAGCGGTGCAACGTGTCACAATTTTTCTATGCAAAAATATGCAATTGACTGGCCAGGAAGATGGCGGCCAGCCAATACAGCGCGTTTATTGGCCAGAAAATGTAATCGACTGGCTAGGAAGATGGCGGCCAGTGTGCCCTTCTGTGTGCCTTATTCTGTGTCTTAACCTTAATAAAGGTAATTCTGGTAGGAGACGAACCACACGATCTGAGGAAAATGTTGACGCTGTTAGAGCTCTGCTCCAGCAAACACAAAGTGTGAGTGCTCGCCGAAATCCTCTTCAAATTTCACATGCAAGCTTTAACAGAATAACAAGGCTTGACCTGCAATGGCACCCATATCAAATGTTTGTGCGACACCAGTTGTTAGCAGGCGACTTCCCACGTCAATTAAGGCCGGCGCACACTGGAGCTATGTGCTTAGCCAAATTTCATTCGTGCCCATTGGCGTGAGGAGATAGCTCTCGTGTGCGGGCGATTTACGAACAACTTTTGTCATTCGTGCCACTTACGCCAAATATCAAACATGTTTGATAATTTCTGCCTCGCGTGCCAAAATCTTTCCGTGTGCGGCAAACGAAAGCCTTTTGCTTACGGATTGTCTTAACAGCGCATGCGTAGTATACGAAAGTAAACATCCAAGATGGCGGCGCAAAATTGCCTCGGCCAGCAATTCATTTTGCGCCGCCATCTTGGATGTTTACTTTCGTATACTACGCATGCGCTGTTAAGACAATCCGTAAGCAAAAGGCTTTCGTTCGCCGCACACGGAAAGATTTTGGCACGCGAGGCAGAAATTATCAAACATGTTTGATATTTGGCGTAAGTGGCACGAATGACAAAAGTTGTTCGTAAATCGCCCGCACACGAGAGCTATCTCCTTACGCCAATGGGCACGAATGAAATTTGGCTAAGCACATAGCTCCAGTGTGCGCCGGCCTTTACGCTTCTCAGAATGGTTCAATCAACGCTGCCGAGGCGAACATTTCTTGGACAGTCTACTAATAGGAGACGAAGCAGGATTTGCCCTTAATGGTGAAGTGAACTCACATAATGTTCGTGAATATGCACCTAAAGGACATCCGCCCGCATTCAATTTTGAGAGGAACAATTCCCGTGCCAAACTGACTGTCTGGGCAGGACTCTGCGGAAATGGTTTAATTGTTGGACCTTACATTTTCGAACAAAATGTTAACGGACATTCCTATCTTGCAATGCTTAACGAATTTGTTTTCCCGAATCTCGCTGTGCATTTCAACAATCAATATTGGGAAGGATTGTTTCGGGGTATTTGGTGGGCACAAGACGGCGCTCCAGCACATCGTCTCATTCAAGTAAGAGATCGGCTGAACGAAGTCTTCGGAAATAACCACATCATAGGGTTAGGTCACAATGTTGAGTGGCCTCCTCGCTCACCGGACTTAACACCGTGTGACTATTTCCTTTGGGGATATCTCAAAGACAAAATCTTTGCCACTCCACCACACGATATTGATGTGTTACGCTAAAGAATCATCGAAGAGTTTGATGCTTTACGACAACAGCCTGCCCTCATTAGCCGAGCCGTGCGTAATATGCATAGACGAACATTACTTTGTGTTGAGAGAAATGGGGGCCACGTCGAAGGACGAGGTGCTTAATAATTGTAAAAATAAACAACGTTTTGTTTAACTTACGTATTTTTGTTGCGTTTAAATCAATCAGTCATATGCTGAACAAAACCAGAAACTTTTCAATAACTTCTCAAGCATAAAATTCCATTCAAATTGTTCATGCACCCATGAGTTCAAGATAGCACTCAGGCATTCAAATTAGAACAATGGTGAATTTCCAAGGGTATAGCAGGTTTTTTTGAGACACCCTGTACAGTATTAAATTCAATTTTATAATATTCTATATACAGTACATGTTATGGCTGCCATACCTCAACATTCCTCACTCTTAAAGAATTGTCAAAATCACTTGAAGACAACTTTCTTCGTTTCGCTTTATGCATAAATTTCAGTGCTTCCTGCAATAAATACATGAATGAATGAATGAATGACAAGGCAAAATAACATACATCAATCACCACAAGTATATGAACTCGTCATGAAAACAAATTAGAAATTACTAAACATCCAATTCCGATTAATCCCAGTTCGGACATTTTTAAAAGAACCTTTGGCTAGTAATCCATATATCATTAGTATTTACTATGTACATTTCATTTCTTCAATTTAAATGTATAAGGGGCATTATTTTAAGTCTCAAAAAAGGGTGCAAGGCAGAATAATGATTTGTATCAAACAATAAAAATCCGTTATCCCCAACTGAGAACAACTCTGGAACATCTCCCATGCATGCAAGCTTCTGACATTTCGAAACTGCAGCAGCATATTTTGTCCTGTTCTTATCCTGTGTACAGCGCAAAGTTCACTGATAATTCCAGAAAGTTAATTTCACTCCAGTGGAGTTCTTTTAAACCACATTTTACTCCACCTTTGGAGTTAAATTAACTCCATGAAATTAACAGTGTTATATGTCTACATTCCATCACATTTGTTTCCGCACATTTTCACTTGCATTCTCGTCTCTTCTTACAGAAGTTATACGGTCTATATAGGAACGACAGATCAAGGTGATATGCATAGAAATAATAGACATAGTAATAGAAATAATAGGTCTAATATTTCTATGTGATATACCAATAAAAAATGAAAGAGTGTGGGGCATAACCCATGTTGGCGTGTATTTTGACTGGAATTCCTTAATTTCAGCCGACAGCTTTAGGAAATATGAAACAACACATACTCCGAATAAAAGCATCTTGTGCACTGAAGATTTGAGTTATCATGTTTTGACACTTTGACTGCTCGAGATGATATCTGGGATAGTCCTTAAAAAGACCATATATTGCAAGGGCAACCCCGCTGGTGCATACTGCATTATAGTCTCATCAAGTGGAGCTGAAACAAGAATATAATTTTCTTCAATTTGCAACTTCGAGGATGGATAATTTGTAAAACAGAGGAGAAGTCTGTTTGGCAAGGAACCTGACTAGGGTTTCCTTGCCTAAAATATCTTCTCGGAAATGCATTGCCTTCACAGTTGGCTATAGATTCTCGTTCTATGATCAAGACCTTAACTTTAGAGTTTTTCTCTTGTTATTGGTGGCATTCTTTGGCATTCTGCCATAGCCAGTTCGATCGCTTTACTCGGGTCTTTTCGGAGCCCATTTTACATCTTGCCTTTGGTCCTTTGTGGCCCTTGGTTGGATTTAACAATACGCATGCATGCACAGTGTTTCTTGCGCTCGGGAGGTGCGGTATAAGTTCTTTGTAGGTTTGCATGGCGATAAAACATATAATACTTTTGTTTGTGGAAACACCACGTAAATTTAGTACTGCAAATTTATTTATTAGGTATATAGGTGAGGTTCTATTTCTATTAACTGTGGTGCGGTATAGTCCTATGTTTCCCTACTGCCATTGCACTGTCCCAAGTGGGACTGGGTCTGTAAGTTCTAAAACTTACGAAATCATTTAGTTATATCAATTTGAACATTTTTATGGGCTCCAAATAATGTTCTTTTCGGAAGAGTGCATATATTGGCAAACGTTCACTATACAAGAAACATGTATTCAAAACTCATTTAATTAAGGTTACAGTTACACTAATTTAATTAATGAGACACGTTGCGCGCGTGAAATTCCGGCCTGTGCATGTTTTCAACCAATTTAGCTCACTAGTACAATGAATGTTCAATCAGTTAATGAACATACTATTTCACCATTTATTAAGGTTTCGTTTATTTTGCAGACGAAGGAAAAACGCACTCACTTCACGCGAAAAGTTTCGTTAAGCTATGGTTTTAATAAAATCCCTCCAAAATAAGCTTTTCGGAAAGTCAAATGATGCCTCAACAAAAGTGTGTGCGGTATAGCTACTGTATAGGTTTTCTTTTTTCTTTTTGTAATGTTTTGTGTTCGAAGGGCAATAAGTAAAAAATGAAATCATACAGCTACCGTACATACTATTGTAGCCCTGGTTCTCGTGCGTCTTCTGTGAAAATTTGAAGAAAATTGGGCAATACCCGAGTTTAACAAAAGTTTGAATCTTACATTTTTGTTGACGAAGATGATAAGTTTCCGCGGGTTATTCGATTATCAGAGCAATACACCGCCCATTGCCTCTTAATTAACGACAACAAGGTGACACTTTCTAATACGAGATTGATTATTCTCATGGTAAACGTGCTTCGATTACATTCGATTATAAACAGGCTATACTGCACAATAGTAAGACCAATCCCGCTGTTTATTTCGGTTACATGAAGAATTTGACAATCACTACAAAGTTTTAGATTCTACTTAAAAGGCATTGAAGGCCGCAACACGCAGCTTGCTATCATGACCTGATATTTGAAACCAAGGGCTTACAAGGTCTTCTGCTGTCAACACATGCCCGTATTTCGCGCAAAAAAATATTTCAATCAAATTTGAAACGTAAATATCTATATTATGTTTTCATTTTATCAACATATAGTTTTCACCACATAAAATATCTCGGCTTTAAGAATACAGTCGTATAAAAATACAAAAATGATGATTTTTCACCCTCCCGACGTATTTCGTGCAAGAAACGTGCCAGGACACATTATAATCAACAGGTGGATATATACAGAAAAAAACTTCAGGGAATAAAATCGAAATGTTCACATTGGGGTTTGACAATCAAAGGAAGATGGACTCTCCACAACATTAATCACAGAATGAGGTTTAATCAGGGAGATGCTTACAAGATGTGACTGCGTACAGTACCTACTGTAAGAAGAAATGGATGACAACAGTATCAAGGCAGGAAATATCTTTATCCACGGAAGCGCGACAGTTCAGTGTACTGTAGGCTTCGTTCATATTCACAACGGATTATGGCATAACATAATAGGCAAAATTGTTGAAATGCAACATCAACTGAATCCACTGTGCACTACAACTGAACTAGCCAATTTGATGGCATATGGGAAAGACACTGATTAGATCAATACAAAGGATTCTGGCTGCTCTTCTTGAGGAACATGTTCACCGTCTGTATCATATTATATAAGAAGCTGAAGCAATCATTATAGCTGTGCACTTTCCATGGAGTCTCTTAGCGACCCATTTCCGCGTGCAACACGTAGGCGTTACATAGCCATGCAACCACGAGGGGAGGAAAAATAGTTGTGCATGCAAGCACTACACTGGAACTTTTTTTCAAATCCTTACTATGTCTATATGGAAATAGTATGCATCTTAGTTGAAAATAGTATGGAAATCCAATCTTCATGCTAAATGCAATTTCCATACTATGGATATATACAGTAGAATGGAAATAGTATGGATATACTATGGATTTAGTGATTATGGATTCATACTATGGAGTTAGCAAATTCCATAGTATGAACTTCACTATTTTTTTTCTAGTGCTACTCACACGAAATGTTTAACAGATGCAGGAAATTTGTTAGGTCGAAGATTTGCACCTTGAAATTTTTGAACAAGCATGTTCCATTATGGACCCTTTTGCCATCTTTCCTTGAATTTAAACTATGCCACTATGTTTAAGAACAGATTTAGCATAAATATACTCAGTTGGTCTTCAGGAAATTTTTATCAGCAGGTTTGCACCCAGGAAAATATTTTCCCAATCTCTGATAAGTGATAACCACAGCTCCAAAGAATATTTCAACACACATTTGTACTAACAATGATGATGAATATAAGTTGTCTCTGCTAATTGCGTTGACAGTTTCCAACGAAAAACACTTACACAGTTTGCAATGAAAAAGTACGAGTCAAACAGAATAAAATCAGTAGTTTTGTTAATGAAATTGCACTGCATGATATAGAGACATGAATATTATGAGTAATGATACATTGCAATTTCATCAAGATGTTGACAGCTGCTGTAGTCTCATGGATAAGCAACATATTTTTTTACAGCAGAAACACTAATTTATGGTTTGTTTCTATAGTTTTCCAGTGCTTGAAGTATTTAATTAAAGTAACATCAGAAATACATGGTGAGGGGCTATATTGCCAAGCAGGGCATTATGGGTAGCAGAGTGTGCGCAGCTCCCGCCTTTGAAAAATTTCTGACCAGCATGACCCATATTTTGATCAGAAACACACCTAACTCAATGGGTGACTGCATGACTGAGTTCCTTGCTGGGACATATGTACCTTACTGCTGCATTCACTATCTCACACATGCAAAGCTGGCTTGCTGATGATGTACTAGCATTGTTTTAACAATATGACAAATGAAATTGAATTTCTCACCTAAATGTGCACTTAACTGTATTGTGTATGCTGTTTTGATTGGTTGAATAGCAAAATACACATGTATGGAATTCTGGTCAGTATTCAGCAATGCCCATTAGATTGTGCTGGAGACAACATGGTTTATATACCCATATATGTTACAATACATGCATGAATAGACATAATTTGTATTCGGGTTATGGGTATGGTTTAGGGTTATCTAACCCTAACCATTTACACTAGATATTATGCACCTGCAAATATATTCAGGTGCATAAAGGCCAGTCTACACAATACAGTACGTCATATATGATTCTTATTCTGGTACAGTATATACAAGTACAATCGAATCAAAATTGTGAACTCAATGTCTCAGTTGCTCCAGGGTGCATTCCGTGCACAAAAGTTCGGAGATCTCCGGCATGGAGTTGTACTCCTCTTGACGTAACGGCGTACAAATGTAAAATCGCTAGGATGTTGGCGTAACAGCACCGCGGCGCCGGCGTACATTTCTTTATTTATTTAAAAATATAAGTCTACTACAAAACATTAAATATGAATCATGAGAATGTTTCTAATTCTTAAAGCTAAAACGTATTCAACTGAACATGATGTTCGAGTATCGTTATCGAAAAAGAATACTGTAAATTGTTTATTTAGCTAGTAGGCGCATTTCTCGATTTTTTTATCGCATTTAAGTATTCTGTTTTACGTCATAGCGACATTTTTTGCTTTTAATGTTATTGTCCTACATTCAGTTTATTATCAGCTGGCATGAGACTTCAAATTTCTTGGCGTAAAAAAAATTGTATTTTAAAACCTTCGGCGTGGCGTTTACATGGAATGCACCCTGGCAGTTGCTTGATACAAACTTTCCACACTTGTGATCTAATAAACATATTCCTAAATAAATTTTGCCATAAACTATATAAATAAACAGGAATTGTGGCATCAGCAGTAATTTTCAAATGCCTAGAGCTGGTTGTACGAAAGCTGGATAGTAATTTTTTCAAGCTTTCTTGAATTGGCCATTGACTGGTATAAACCAGATTAAACATTAGTATTATAACTTTTGCCTATTTGCCTAAAACTGTCGCATGCAACCTGCTTACAACTTGAGTTGTACTGCATGTGTAAATCAAGCACACAACTCATCTATGTTGTCGTAGGTGAGTTGCATGCTTAATTTAAACAGCACAATTTATAATTCAAGTTGTAAGGAGAATTGCATATTTGCATGCGATAGTTTTAGGCAAAACTTGTGTAGTGTAAAATGTAAATCGACCTTATTTATACATGCCACCAAAAAGCATAGAAAACTACCTGAGAAATTTCTTTCAAGCGAAAATTAACGTCATCAAGTAAAAACTGTAGTGCCTCATCATTCAGCTTGGTTATACCATACGAGCTTGCAATTGTTTTTATACTTTCTACACTAATATCATTTTCCAACTCTGATTCAGCTCCACTTTCTTGAGAACTCATATTGCCGTAGTTTAAGTAGGTATTGAAAATATTGATATATGCCACAAAGTACAGTTATCAAACAAATTAAACCCAATAAAAGAGATATCTTTATTTCTTGTCAAAAACTGCCGCCATTTTTAAGCCTAGTCCCCCAGCTGTGTGGGGGGGGGGGGAGGTGTTTGTCTACATCATTGGTTGGTTGCATTCGAAAAATTAACAATCTCGATCTGTATAGCGAAATTTAGGAAAGAAAGTGAACGTTACGTTGATATTCTTCATTTAATGATGTGAAATTGATTATCACGTAGGTGATATTCTATATGCCACGAAAAAAGAAAGAGCCATGTCAAGTCGAAGCTTGTGCTATTCAGAAATGTTTGCAAGGTATAATTTATGAAACTACTCCCACCATTAGGCACCATATGACCAATCTCGTAGCCAGAGCCATCGGATTGAGGGAATCACCATTAATACCCCCTCCATCCTCATTTTCGAGGCTTCTTGGCTGCCTCAACGCAAGCAACACAGTTACACACCCTCTCCAACCCCTAACCCCCCCCCCTGGTCCTGAAAATCTTAGTGATTAGAGTAAAAAAGTAGTAGTGTGAAATACTGTAAAAGACTCTTGCTTTGTTAGGGGGGGGGGGGGGGAATAGGTTTTCAGATCG